TCCCCTGAAGTGCGCAATTGACACGTGACTTGACACTGAGGCCCTGTTAGGGTATATTCTCCGCCCCAATAGTTTAGAGTTTAGGACCGTTATTCGGAGGATAGCCCATTTTTCTTTCTGTGAGACGAATAATTCTTCATTCATTGATTAAATGAAGTCTTCCCATGGTTTCCAAGCTCTCTGATCCAATGGAAGTAAATTTAAAATATAGCAATGCTAATTAACATAGTATAGTCATATTTAATTCTCGAACTAGATGTTGTGATAGTATATCATATGCAAGGCTTTGTTGCACTAAGTGAGGTCCATTTGCTTTTGCTATGAACACTAGTGCACTTCGTCTGCCTCTCAACACAGAGCCATCTGTATAGAAAGCCTAGTACCAGACCACCATGTATCGGCTCTGCGTTTATGGAGGTTTCCTTAGATGATGGGGAAGGCTCATGTTCTGCTCCTACCTTCTCTTGATGGCTGACCAACATTACATGGCTTGGCTGCACAGGGTCGGCTGATAGGAAGCACCACCTGTGAACTAGAGAACAGATGACTACATAGCAATGAGATTACAAGGTAACCCAGGCAACAAATGCCCGCAGAAGTTGGATGTGTCAGCTGAAAGGCGCAAATACCACAGCCATGTTACAAATGAGCACAGTGTAACTGTTTCAGAAGAAGAAGAACCATAAAGAATAACCTAAGAAATGAGCAGTAGAATTTCTGGTGAATCCAGTACTAGACACTATGAGGTAAATCAGTACCCCAACAAAAAAATCTGATTCTCTTTCACAGGGCAGCAAGGGCAGTATATGTGCCAGTTAATAATAATACAGGAACAGCTGGGAAATATTTCTATAAAGGTGTGCATATTATTTGTTTATGTTTTTCCATAGTTGATTCTCATGAAACTCATTCAACCCCATTGCTGGCTCTGAATAATAGCTAGATAAAAGCAGAATTTCACTGAATATTGTGGCAGATTGGAACAAATAATAGCAGAAGGCATGGTACTGGGAGCGAGGGGCAGGGGTCGACCAACATGGAGATGGGCAAAGGAGTTAAGTGACTCCTTGAATGTGAAAGTATATGAGGAGGCAGACCTAGTGAGTTTTTTTTTTTTTCAGGCAGACCTAGTGAGAGTTTTTTTTTCCCCCCAGGCAGACTGATGAGAGTGACGTTCTGCAAAGAGCCTGCTACATGATGATGATTCTGTGCAATCTGTCCTTGGTAACTGAGTTGCAAAAAAAAAAAAAGAAATGGAATAATTGTTTTTATAAAAAAAAATGATAAGAACACCAATATTGATAGATTATAAAGCAAAAATTAAGTTGATTTAAAGTGATTAATTCACAAAAGCACTGATTACTGACATCAGAAAAGACAGTTCACATTCATTGGGCACTTCATGAGAAAAGAAAAGCTGCAGTATGTTGTGAGTATGATAAAATTAAAAGGGAAGCAACTTGGAGGGAGACCAAGAAAGAATATTCTGATCATTTTGGAAACATGGTATGGAAGAACATCTGCGTCTGAAATGATATATGTCCTATCATGGATCAGAGGGCTATTGACAGACATGTTTCACCTGTATCAACCAAGCTGGGCATGCCAGAGTAAAGAGTAATAAACAAGCGGAACAACTGGCAGGTGTAGAAGCACTGCATAGGAAGATGCATGAACAAAGCTGACATCATTAACGCTGTTCGGACTAGGCTAATTGATAATGATGAATTTCTTATGCTAACATGATTGCATGGTCTCAGAGGAAAGCTTGGGGAAGCTCATTAGTGCCATCTTCAAGGTCAAGATAGGAAACATTGTAAACAATTTCTCGTAAAAAGTCAGTAAAAGTGTTTTGAAGTGGTTACTGCATTGAAGGACTAAGCACACATCAGAATTAATTCTATGATTGACTGACAATATGTGTCTTCAACAAGTATTTGTATAAGTAGGGAAATACTGACCCAGCATCAGTGCAAAGAGGTGTGCATTGACAGCATTGATTTTAAACTTACCTGTTTTCTTATGATATAGGTTCTTCTAATATGGTTTATCTTTAATCCTCGTGCCCAGGGAACCTTACATAAAATGGATCATGGCCCTGTTGGAATTTCAGAAAAATCCTTCCAGAGTGGAATGACTAGTTGACCATTTTAAAATACTCATATTCTAACATTTTCTCTTGCTTGTATTTCTTTTTTTCACACACAACTGACTAATAAAATCCTTCCCGCCAACTCCACTTTCTGACTCAATATCACTTGGTGCATCATCGCTCACTCATAAAGAGCATTGTCTGTCTAGGTGCTTCCTTTCCCAGTTTCACAGTGGTCCAAATAAGTATCACACACATTATCCTCAGTCTGTTGCTCATTATTACTTTGTCCCAGTTATGTACATATTTTAATGTAGTCATCTCAGAGTTAGTAAATATTTGTGTTTTGTTTATTGTCATTGTTTTGCAGATGAAGGCTAATCGCTCCAACACGCTCTGTTTGTATCAGGTTTTGTAAAGCTGACATATTGTTTTTGTTACTTTTTTCCCTCTTCCCTAAAATGTGCTATGTTTTTTGAGACTTTTTGAGAAAAAAAACAATTTACACAGGTCACTAATAAGTTTGTGAACAATTTATTTTTCTACATTTTTGTATGTGTAAATGTATATAGAGTTACGAAGGGAGTCATCAGTAAACATGAACAGGGAGAAGCATTGAATAGAATACATTTCTTGGGGCCTTATAAAACCAGATGTATCGGGTAACTCATGCTGTAACCCTGGGACTTGTATCACTGAGGCGTACAGGAAAATTTGATGTTAACTTGGCCTTAGAAAAGCTGTTTGGCTCAAACACCACACCCCTAAAACTGTTTTTTTACACATAGTTTCTGCCTAGAACAGAAAGGTGAACATTATGACGCAAGTAAAACTTACATAGGGATTTAGAGCACATCTGTTTGTATTTGTGTGTATTAACCCTTTTAGCACGGGAAGTTTTTCAGAGGTCTAGCCAAAAACACGGAGCATTTTTTCAGTGAATTTGGTTATTACTTTATTTAATTTTTTTGACAGATTTCTGTTATTCTGACCCCTATGAAATAATATATCTATTTGAAGGATATAGATTGAAGTTCGTGATTTTCACAATATCGTTAAAATTAATTGATGTATATGCAAATTATCTCATTTGCATATCTAAAAATAGAAAATATGAATTTGAATTTTCAACTTCAATGCTTGAAACATAAAACTAAAAACAAAAATTTTTTTTATTTGAAATCTTTTTATTGATCTTTGGCCTTTTTACAAATGTTGTAAGCAATTAAATAGTCAAAAACAGGTATATATATATGTGAAACAGCAATAATATCTTTAGGTGACATGTGTTTTTCACCATCAGTCAGCACTAGAAATGGATGTGCCGGAGTGTCAACACCTTCGGGTGGATATACCCTGAGCCATGGTTGGGCTGTGGTCTGAACACAACAGCGTCCCCATCTGATTCCCACTATTACTACTAACACTAAATCCTGCATCAGTATCAACAGAATTAGTGTCATCACTTGATTCAAATGTTTTATCAACATCAAGTTTAGGGGCAGAAACATACAAGTCAGACATACTTTTAGCGGTTCAGGTCACTATCTAAAAAATTCAACAACAATTTTCACTTTGATACCAAACACTCGAAAGTCGCCATGTGTAAAGCTGATACCGCAGTTAATATAAATGAATCACTTTCAGTGTTTCAAAGTAGGAGATTTCTTAGCGGTTCGAGTCGAAACACGATCGGGCCGATCATCGGCCGTTCCGTGTTTTGGGCCAGACATCCGCCGGCCGATAATCGGCCCGTCCGTGCTAAGAGGGTTAAACACAAACTAATTATTTCTTTGTCCTATATAAGCTGAAATTTCGTGATGTATCTAATAGCTGATCCCACAAATTTTAGTTTTTAATGCTGTGATTTTGGTTAGTAATTGATGTATTTTAATTCTTCTATTAATTTGTTTTAATGTTATTTATATGTTTAAAATTCACAGATGGGGCTCAAAAAGAGAACAAGAAGGTAAAATATTTAAAAAAATGTTATGTAGTTTGTAGTTTATTGATTTTATTCACAGACATAGGGAATAGTAAAGACCATTGTGTACCTAACCTTATACACCTGCAGCTACAGTGTTGGTTATAGGGAACTTCATGCTCACGTTATTTGACAGATATTCTGCATAGAATATTCTTTAATCTGTGAAATGCAGCTCTTATTATGGCTATTGTGCATTCACCTTTTCAAATTCATCTCTTATGTGCTGTTATAATGATTCCCAAATAAATATGCACTATCTTGGTTCAGACTCTCCTCAACTACTTTGATGCTACACTGTGAAGGCAGTGTTCTCATTGTAAATTGCCAATACTTCCGCTGTTTAGACTAAGATCACTTTCTTGACATTATTTTACAATTTACTAAGAATTTTCTTGTAACTGCATTTTATTTTCAAAACTTTATGTTCGAGAGGATCAACCATTGCACCTGGTTTTATCTCGTAGCATTCGGCCTCTCTTCTATAGTTCCAGTTTCTATAGATTCCCAAGGATCTCCACAATAAAAATTGCACTTGTAAATCTTCTTTTTTTTTTAATTCTTCGCGTTTACCAGCTGTAAACTCCAGCGGAAAGTTCTGGTTGTTCGTCCACTTCTGGATTGCAGTAAATCAATCGTCACAATCTGATGAATGAACCAATGACCTTCGCAGTTTGAGGCAAGCTATCTGACCATATTATAACTAAGACCCCTATTTCATTTTCAGCAGTCATTTTGTGCAGCTTCTGTTTCATCTAAATCCAGTCTGGGCTTCTGGTCATTGTTTTTCCCATTATGGTAATAATTTTAATTTAGATGAAGCACAGTTTTAATTAATGTGGTAATTAAAATAATTATGAATGGTTTTTAATGAAATTTACACAATGTGACAAAATATACTTTACTGTGTTAAATTATTTTCAGATTGACTATAAGACCAGAAAACTTCGACACCCCATCAGACATGTTGATGAACAGGAAGCTTTGATTAAGTTAGAGATGAAGAATGAAAATGATAAGAAAAAATTCAACAAGAAGAACAAAGATTTCATACAGACAAATAAAGAATGGTATGTTTGAAAAATACAATGCAGTCTTTACTTTTGACATCTACAGTATCAGTGGTGCCTCTACATTCATTATTTATTTGTTGTGTATGTGATTATATTGGATATCAGGAGTATTTAATGACAGTTTCATAGAAATGGATAATACCTTCATGTACAGTTTTTAAATCAGTTATATTAACCCTTTGGTCCCATAAAGATCTTAATAAGTAAAGACCTTCTCATAAAGCCTTTTAAAAAGAAACACATCATTATCTGAAACTCTACTGTAAGAAAGTAGAGTGAGAGAAGAAGCATAATGACCTTGGAGTCTTGGTCAGCTTATATAAAATCTAGAAGTTGTTATTATTATTTTTTGGTGTATTATAAACCTAGTCATCTGGCACAAAATGACACTGTTAATATGTGTCACACAGACAAAAATAGACATTTTTCCTTCACCAGTTTTTTTTTTTGTTTAAGTAAGTAATGATACCCAACCCATTTACACACTATACAGTCACAAGCAGTACCAAAGCTGTTATAGAGTTCATGTGACAATTGATTTTCTGGATTTGTATTTATACTGTAGGCTTCTAAATGTCATTTTGAGCAGTTTATTTTGCACTGAGTTGACCGTTTGAACAGTTTATTTGAACATTTCTGGATCAAGAAGGGTGAGATATGTCACTAGAGGCAGTGAGATATGTCACTAGAGGCAATCATAATTGGCTGTTGACAACACACAGTGGGCTTACTTTTAGTTGACAGAACTGTTTATAGAGTAATATCAGCTTGTGCTTTTTTTAAACTGACAAGTCTTTTTTTTTTTAATTTTAAAAAATAATTTTTTTGTTTTTTATCTAGTTTTCACTGGCGTCTGTTGACTGTATTTCCATGCAATATTTTGCTGCACTTGACACTCTTAATATTAATTCAATTGTAACGCTGCTCTACCACTTATGAGCATCAGATCTGTTGTTATCACAATGGCTGCTACAGATGCTCAAGTAGACATGGTGCTTGTGTTACACAGTATTGTAATGACGAGAGTGCTTAAAATAATAATTGTCATTGCTATATCACAAACACGTTTCATTCTTTTATATGTAAGCTTTAAATATTTCACTCTGACAGGTTTTAGGAGAAGCTAAACCAATGAAAAATTAAATCACAGATTAGTGTCCCATCCTTTAGCTACTAAATATTACTCACATGTCAGTATGTCAGCTGATGTTCACAATCAGTCATTTGTTACACTATTGACTACATTCATTTAATTTACCCAGTAAGAATTTCAATTACAGTGACTTGTGATAATTTACATAAGGTATGCAATCTGTATTTTACCATACAAGGTCTGCATCAAGATATATATATATCTATCTGTTGTCAGTTACTACAGTCATCATTGACCATAGTACACTTTTCTAATGTAAAATATTTGTGTTCACTGAAGCGACAGTATTTTTGTGTGTTGATTTTTAGTTTCAAGATGAAAGATGCCATACAGCATCCACCTCCAGGGAACACACACATCAAACCAGGAACAGTGACTTTGACACAGGAGCAACTTGCGGCATTGTTGGCATCTTTGAGGACTACAACAGGCAAGTAAAGTCATTTGAAGATTAATGAAGGTAGCAACGTGTAGTAATGCGTTATATAAGCAATGACAGCAGAAATCCCATAACAAAGATAGCTATAGATGAGTAAAATTATATACACATTGGGTTACCCAGGGTAATGATGGTTTAACACCCAACTCTGTCATCATCATTGGATCCCCTGTTTAGTGATGTCAACATCTACTTTCATCATCCTCCTGTATACATCTAAAATGGAAGTGTTCCGAGGTTTCTTGAAATGAAAACCTAAGTTTTCATGCTGTAACATTAAATGTTTTTAATAACTGTATTTAAAAAAAAAAGGATAAATTAACAATTTAGTACCTTTTTTTTTTTGTCTTGCATGTTTGTTGTTCACCTCAGATATTAACTGTATAGTTTCGATTTGTGTACAGGCACACAAAATTCACAGACAAAAATTGTGTGTTCCTAATTATCTATTTTTAGAATGTAAATCTTTTCCTTCCTGTTCTGGATAGACATTTATAATTATTGAAATAGCAGCTAACTTTGGGTTTATGTTTGATAGATTATGCTGCGAAATGTCTATTTCCAAGTTGACACTGAAAGGGGAGGTCAGCCTGTTGTGTTGTGGTTTACAGTGAGGGCCCAGGACATCTGATTTCAGTAATCCCCTAGTTAAATGCATTTTACAGCATGCTTGGTCGGAGATAGTGGATCTATGTCCCAACCCAAATGAGGTTTTGGAACCCACATGTGGGCCTGAATAAATTTAAGTAATTATATTTTATGTAACTCTGTGCAGTTTTCCAGCTGCATTTTGCATTGCAATGATTGTTTGTAAATTATTTATGAAAAGTAGGAAACTAATTTGTCTACTATATATGTTCCATACATTAAAAAAATAATTCCTTTCCTATTTTGAATTTTTAAAAAATATATAAATTGTATTCTCATAGGAATAACGAGGTTAGATTAATAATCTCAAAACACCTTATTTCATTTCATATCATTTCCAGATTCAAACAGCAACAAAACAGATGTACAAAACCATAAGGCCAACAGCAATGGAGATGATGAGGATGGTTTTACTTCAGATTCCGGAATTGATGTCTTACTGAATGAAGTTCGTGAGCTTGCAAAATCACACCCCAGAAAAACAACAGATAGAAATAATGGGTGAGCTATTACCTGAGAGTTGAGTCAAGAATTGACATCACAGCACGTGAGGCATTCCCATATACACTCTGTCCCCAATCTTCAGCAGCCAGCGCAAAGTTCCAATACCAATGGTACCTGTCATAGTCTGGTTATTTGTCCATCTTGCCTTGCCTCTGAGTGTAGTGAGCTGGCGAGACCGTCTGGTCACTCCCAGGTGTGTCATTCTGTCCAGGCCATGTTACTGGAGGATACAGGCAAAAGTTTCTTTATATGTTTTCAATGATGCATGTTGTCAGAGGACTATATCTACAGCCAAGGTCTCGCTTTTTTTGGGGTTGTTTTTTGAATTATGTTTACAAACAAGAGTTACCTCTAGATGGCGGAATAAATCCTGAGATCAGGCACACTTGCAACAAGATAGACCGGGTTAATTGGTCAGATAAAGCCAATTCTGCGGTAATGAACATAAAAACCAGTTTTATATAATCTCTGAGTCCTGAATTTGACCCTCGGTAAGGTGTTAAGAGTTTTTCTATCATGGCAAAATTAAACATCTTGACTTCCTAAATCCTAAATGAAACATCCTAACCTGCACAGTCTGTGGCGACAGCACTAGACAACGGGCCCTACATCCTCAAACTTGAGGCCTCTCTATCTACACCGCCCAAAATTGTTGTGTAGAGATAATAGTAGTGACATAATCTTCCCACCAGCACAGTGCCAAAATAGAACAGTGACATCCAGAGTTATAAAGAATTACTTGTAACAATAGAGTTTCATTGCCTATGACAAGATCAGAGATGATGACATCAAAAAGCCGGAGTTGACATTGTCAGCAGTTGTTTTTATGAACAAATAGTTGTATGGCTCTGTCTTGTGATTAGACTGCCACCCTCAAACAGTATACATAAATAAGGGCTAGATCAGTGTTTCCCAAAAGTGGGCAGTAGGGTGAGGTCACTGGTATGGTCCAGGGAGGTGGCAGCTGCCTTGATCAAATTTGGGGACACGATGGTGGTTCATGGGATAATGGTGGTGGAATAGCCTAAGGTTCAGTTGGGGATATTGACTACAAATGCGACAGTGGGAGTGTGTGAGTGAGACAGAGCTATTTGATGAATCATTCTTACTTTTTTAAATGTAGAGTAACAGATTAAAATTGCAGTGATTGCTTAACATTCAGCTTATCTATTCATTCCACGATAGCACCGTATGTTGATTACATCTGAGATTTGCTTTTGCATTGAACTCACGTGCACTTCTTCTGCCTGTCAGTATAGAGCCATCTCTAAAGATAATAATCACATATGGGTATGATTTTTTTAAATCACTTATGTGATTCAAAGAAGAGAATATATATCAGGACAGCCTGCTTCTAACCCGATAGAGATAAAGGTAGTGTGTACTCTTTACATTGTTCACATTTCTATGGAGGGCTGCATAACTACTTTTCCTGTATGAAATACATTCACAGAAGCTGCTCTAGTGTAGTGGCTAGACTCTCCCCTGTAGACCCGAAGGTGGAGGGTTCAGGTTACGATGGAGCTAGACTTTTTTCCCCAGAAATTACCATGGCTTTCCAGGTTAAATCAGTATTAAATGAGTACCAGGTAAAGTCCTTGGAAGTAAAAGCAGCCTGCATGTTGTTGACAACATCACCCACTGAATGCTGATTGGTCTATAAAATATTGGTCTATCCCTATATGCCCAACACAACAGAAGGTGATGTATAGGGTCCTTTACTGTTAACACTATCAATTGTTTTTGTCTTTAGGAGCAACAAAGACAGCCAGGTGATGTTGGGACATGAACAGAAATCTCATGCAGAACCTGGCCAGAAAATACTGAATTCAGAGTCTCCCCAGCAGTCACAGCAAGATAGTGTCTCAAACATGGTACCTTTTAAGCATCTGTCTGTGGCAGAGAAGAAAAGACTTCAGTGGGCTAGAGAAAGAGGTGGGTGCTTACATTCATAGTTGCAATAAAGAATTAAACAAAATCGGTCACTTAACGTTGGCGTCAGATTACATCGAGAAAATTAGTGATGGAAGCTAGTTTTTGGGTATGTGTGTAAACAGTGGTAGTATTACATGCAGCTTTATGTTTTCTTTTAAACCTGTGATACTTTTTTTAATCAAGGGTAAAATGCATGAAATACCACCATTGTTTATATTTAATCTTGTATCATTTTTCATTTCATTTGCTGTGTTAAATTATTGTGTTGTATTAATTATACTGCAATATATCTTGATTATATGTCTTGCAATACAATATTACATGGTTTCTTGTTTGCTATTTCTTAGACTGATAGATCTCATATCGTGGATATTTTTTAACACAAGCAAACAGTGATTACCACATATGGTCTCTAGACATTGAGTGACCTCTAAAACAAACCTAAATTATTAATTGATGTTCCACATGGAGCTGGAAGACCTACTGTTGTTTGTAGCAGATACTACTGAATTTTCAAAAGCCACCATTTAGTAAAGTGGAAAATAACCTTATTGGATCTAATTCTAATATTTTTCTCCCATTGTTTGATGTGCTCTTCATCATTATATCTTTAACCCTTTCACCCTATAAATGCTGAGATACGCACTTGTCGGTTTTTTTAACCAAATGTTGTCTTTGAGCAGTGGTAATTGTGCCTGTACAGCTTTGGTGATGTTTGCAAGTGTAGACACGGTGGGCATGATTATAATTCCCCTTCCTCCCCCCCCCCCAGTGAAAAATATCCTGTGGGGCAAATAAATTGATTTCTTTTGTTGCTGTTACGTCATCATTGCATCATCATAAACTTATAATGAAGTCACATAATCAGATGCAGCAATGTTAACTGACAGAACCATGTTTCTCATGGTCATAAGGAGTGAAACAAGTCAGTTTTTTGCACCATGTATATTTAGGGATTAAATCCTGTACTGGACCACAGATTTTATAGGCTGGAAAAATTACAGATTATAAATATTTATATTTATATATAATTTTCTTTAGTATCTTGGGGAACAATGGTGATGTAACTGCGAGCAGGCTTGCCTGTCTATCTAATCGGTGGTCATAGGTTTCAACCCCCTGAATTTGTATACAAACAGACTCAAGATTCCAGATTACTTTTGCTCCTTCTTCTATTCTTCAAGTTTCTTAGAGTAGATTTTATGAAAATTATAAGGATGCATTATTTTAAAGATTTTTATGAGCTGAGTTAATGGATTTAAAAGAATTACATTTTAATTTTGTGCTTTTTATGAAATATGATAATTTTATCATTGTGCATCAAATAATTTGTATTTGAAAAACCAAATAATCTTTATTTGAAATGTACACTTCCTGTTGCCTGTGCTGGCGGTTACAGCGGAGACACAAGAAGCTTATGACCCCTGGGGGAGGCCCGGAGCTGGAGCACCAATGAAGAAAACTGATGTTGAGAGAAAACACGGCAGTCATGATGACAAGGGCAATATCTCGCTGCAGAATAAGTCTGCTGATTACAAGCAGCAGCAGGTAACAGAATATATGTCTTCTTACTCCCTGCATGGGTTCCCGGGGCCCCATTGAGGGGTGGGTGGGGTGAAATAGACCCACAGACGCCCCCCCCCCCCCCCCCCCCCCCCCCCCCCCCCCCCCCCCCCCCCCCCCCCCCCCCCCCCCCCCCCCCCCCCCCCCACGCCCCCCCCCCCCTTTTTCCTGGCCAATAATCTTGTTGTAAGAGGTGACTAATTATGGCTGTTTCCTTCAAAGTCAGAGTGCATCTGCCTGAGAGGTGAGTAACCAGCAGTCTGCACACAAATAAGTCAGATCTGTAAAATGGATGTGCATGCAAAGCTGCTTTGCTTGAGGTTCGGAGGAAAAGGCAAGACTGACGTTTAGTCAGAATGCTACTGGCACCATTAGTATCGCATATCTTCGCTGGTTGCTGAAGATGGAGACGGAGCGCTTATGGGAATGCCCCAAGTGCCATGATGTTGGTTCTTGAATCAACTCAACTCATGGATGGAAGACATGACAAGGTTAAGCAAGAGTGAATAAAGTAGTAATTAGTTTTTCTAGTCCCTGTTCTACCTTTCAGCGTCAGGTTTTGAAGAGGCTTATAGTGTACGCTGTATAGATGCTGGTAATCCTGGCCTCAGACATTCCATTTATCCATCGCTACTTGAGTGACCTCTGCTGCCATTGTATCTAAGTGAACGGGCTGTCTGTGGTGCTCTGCACTGTGTTTTGACAGTCTAGACACATTTGTCTGAACCATTTGACCTGTTGTCTCTTGGTGTAGGTTAGTATTCAATTAAAATTTTAAGTTTTCTCTAAGTAAAAACAAAAGTTATTGTATCTTCCCCTAACTGTGTCCCAAGCAACGCACCATGTGTGATCAGCTAATGTCTTTGTGTATGAGACAACACTTTGTGTGTTATTACAAATACATCTTTCATGTTTGGTCTGTGTGTACCAAAGAAATCTGGCTAAAAATGTTAATATTTTTCACAGTCTAAGGTTTGACTGGGAAAGTGATAGACTGTACTTTTTGGTGTCATTTTTATGCCAGACTCAGCATAGGCTGTGAAATTATGTGGGACTGAAAGAGTTAAGTAGTTATACACAATAGCCACTTAGACATGTTGTCAGACCAAAATACAATCCATCTTGCTACCAAAGAAAAGCATGTTATTAAAAATTCAGCAGTTTTATTTATTTAACTTATACCACAAGGCAAAGTTGACCTTCTAAGACATAATCAAAGGTAATGAACAAATACATAAGATTGATAATGTCCAAAGCTCCATGTGGGGGTCCTAAGGCGCGCAAATGAGCCAGATCTGTAAAACAGATGCAGACAACACTCAGGCCAGTGTTTGCAGCACTGTTTGCCTGATGTGCACTGAAGATGTTTCTGTTAAAAAAAAAACCCAAGGAAATACTGTGTTTAGCCTTTGCATTATTGTCCTTTCAGTGTACTATGGTGTTAAATGATTCTTTTAAAAAAAAACCAGGGAAATACTGTGTATAACCTTTGCATTATTGTCCTTTCAGTGTACTATAGTGTTAGATGATTCTGTAAAAAACTGTGAAATGCTGTGTATAAACTTTGCATTATTGTAATTTCAGCATAATATAGTGTTAGATGATTCTGTAAAAAAAAAAATGAAATACTGTATAGCCATTGCATTATTGTCGTTTCAGTGTACCATAGTATTATTGAGTTTAAATAAATAGCAGTATTAACTGTATATTTTTCTGTGTCTTCCATAGAATCTTTTACTCAATGAAATAGAAAAGCTTCAGCAGGGGATAAGGGAAGCAGAATTCAAAAAATGGCAGGAGGATGAGAAACAGAAATCTTTGATGAGTAAGAAAAGTTCTGGAGAAGAGCAAAACAGGATTACATCAGAAAAGCGAAATGATCCACAGTCACTTGAAGAGGCACAGATGAAAACTGGAATCAGGGCTCAGAATGGCCAGCAATTGAATCAGGTAACTATTTCATTTGTAACAATGCATAGTTTATATCAGGTAGCACTGGCACTACAGCAAGCTGGAGTTTATGGTCATAGAGGCTAAATTCAGCAACTAAAACAATTACCAATAAACTACAAGCATTCATTAACTATTGCCTGCACAGAGTAGAGGGAATTTAATGGTTTCATAGAATCACTATTTTGAAGCTTTCAGAGAGAACTGAACAAATTCCAGAGAATCAAGAGGTGAAGGAAAAATGCTGGCGTTGGATAGGACACATTCAGAGATAATCTGAGAACACTATAAAAAGAAGGGCTTTATACTGGAACCCACAGCAGCTAAAAATATAGGAGAAGGGAGCTAAAAGTGAAGTTTGAAAGAAAGGGAGGATATAGGGTAAGCTGCATGCAATAGCAAAGGATAGGATGAGTTGGCGTGTGTTGGTTGCAGGGCTGGGCTCTGCTGGGGTGATAAAGGGCAGGATAAAAAGATGCTGAAACCATCATCATCTGTGTCAGAAGTCCTGCTGTACAGTTGTACATGTATATCTTGTCTAATTCACACGTTTATGGCTTGCATATAAACAATAAAATAACTAATGTATTGATTGTTTTGCACTGACTCGTAATCATTTGAGAAACTCGGGGTCATGCCAGTGTTTGTAACTTTTTTTTCTGTCACAAATGTTTGCTCAAATTACAAGAAATTTAGCATAAATGTATTTAAATGGTGTTCCTTCATGCATATATTCATCAGAGTTATAAGGATACCATGAAAATACTTAAACTATCTCTTTCTGCCTTTCTCCCTCTCCAACTTTTCTATTGTCCCGACATACTTCAGCTTTTCTCTTCTCATGATCTCTTAAAGCTTTTCTTCCTCTTCAACCATTCTGTTGTCATGACATACTCCAGTTTTCTCCTTTTCATGTTATGCCCAAAGAATATGGATTGTCTGCTTCTCAAGTGGGTAACCAGTTTTCTTTCATATATCTTCCTTTCATAATTTTTTTAAAAAGTAAGTTTAAAACATATACTCATGGTGTTTTTTTCCCATTATTCTGTAACCATTTTCTTGAGTTTGTTGGTATGTGTGCAAGCTGTGGTTTTAATACAGTTCCCATATGGGAATAGTTGATAGGTAGGTGTCTGTGGCTTAGGCGTTGCTAACATGCCTAGAAAAACCACAACAGCCAAAAAAATGCTGGGGTTTGTTCTGCAACGCCCTGTAAAGGATACACAACTAACTTTTAATTAGTTTACTGAGGCATTTAATGGTCATATGTGAAATGATTGTTTATCATTCTAGGATATTGTGGCTCATGATAAAGCATCAACCAATCCCAGCAAGAAGGAAGTTGAGAGACAGCAGTGGCTTGCAGAGTTAGGTAAAAAAAATTATCATCATTTCTGTCTGCAAGTGACCACCCAGCTCGGCCGTGTCTGTTGATGTATCATCATACTTGTCTTTTTTCAAAAAAGGTCCCTTTTCCACGCCTTTAGACGTATAGGGCTAGACCTATATTTTTATCGATCAACTGGCACAAGATGGGTGATGTGGTCAGCATCACGCCGGCTGCCTTTACTTTCCAGAACTCCACTCGTTACCCACTTAAGGCTGCGCCGACCTGGGAGTAAAGGTCATTTTTGAAAAACAAAGTCCAGCTCCACCAGGGAGCGAACCCATGACCTTCCAATCCCTGTGCGGGCATCTAGCTGCTTACCACAGCGGATCCCGTGTTTTTAAAAGAAGACCCAAATGTATCTGTACCAGAGTCCCTTGTTTCAGTAATTTTTGTTGTTTTTAATGGGCTGCTTTCCTCTTTTGCAAATGTTTGTCTGAATACTGCTGTCTATGATTATCAAGATATTTTAAATGAAAATACTGCACACAAATCTGGACTAGGTCACACACACGCAGACACATATACACATTTACAGCACAAACATATGTACTCATTCGTGCAAAATAATAACATGTAAATTTATACATGCGTGCTTTGACGGACGTTAAATAAGTTATGCAAACTGTGTTAAATTCACTCACAATATAATTTATTATTTTATTTATGCGTTCTCTGTATTATCTCTATTGCCTATCCACCACTACAGCTTCACGCCCGCGTGAAACATGAGCATGCATTCCTTGCCTGTGTAAAGTTTTCCCTGTTCATATGGTAATTTATTTACAAGATGAATAACATAATCAAGTCCAGAGGTTCTCTGTCTTTATTTACTTATATAAGAAAGAAATGATTTCAAAAATGTTTGATAATGTATAATGTAATTAGATAGATATATGGGAACATCTTGATGACTGGAGAGATCAGCAGTAAATGGGGAGCAGGTGAATGATAATGGATGATCTTTGATCCTGTCATGAAGAAATACCTTCAGTAGAAATGATGCTCAACACCAAGGACATAGCTGTCTGTGGTAAGACAACTAATAACTGTCTGTGGTAAGACAACTACTGCTTTGGGCATTGAGCAAGTCACATGGTGATTACCACACACATGCACACACAGACCTATGTATATAATAGCTGTAGTAAGTTCACAGAATTACCAATTCCTGTTTAATTGAGTGATTTTGTTTCAATAACAAAAAGACTAGAAAATGTTAACAGACTTCATTGTATGTGACATTATAACAAGTAAAGTTGAACAGGGTATGACAGATGAAAAGGTGGAAATAACACATTTTGACAAATTAATTAATGAGCACTTCAGTAGTTTTATTTAGAAGCTGTACTCGTTTATTGAGTGCATTCTTCATCCTTGCAGACAAACAGAGACAGGAACAACAGTTGAGAAAACAGAAAGAGAAAGAGCAAGACCGTCAGGGCATACATGACAGTTTTGCAGACAGATTTGGAAACCAGAAAACCGCGGAGCACATTTCCCCCAGACGTGAACAGTAAGTTAAATATTTGTGCCATTTTATTATTGGCTTCCTGTAATTACTGCTGCAGGAACAGTTCAAATATGACTCTAAAAATTTCATTAACAAAAGCTAATGCCAACAGGCTCCTGTTAAGTGTTCTAGTATAATTACTTGTTGAATTTTTTAGTTTGCCAATTATTTGCAGTATAATTTATATAGTTAACAAGCCACTACACTAGCATGTTTAATTAGTTATGTTTATCTATTCATTATTGTTGCTTCTGTTTTAACACACATATTTGTAAGTTTCTTGTTCTGTGTATCCAATTTTATAATTTATAAGTTGGATTAATTCAACTATTTATCCTCACTTATGTATGTTGTAGAGTCATGTGAATATAAATCTATTAAAATATTGTATTTAGTATATCTTGTGAGATTCTGTCTTTAACAGTCATTGTTGCCAGTAATACTTTTGTCATAATATAATGTAATGTTCGTTGACGAGCTCTGTCAAGAGCACTATTAAGACTGATGTTCACTTCTGTAAGGCTGTTCTTAATGCCATCACTCTATATTTTCCTTGGTCTTCCACTCGCTCTATACTCGTAACCTTTCAGTCTGGTTCACTGTGGTAGATAGTACAGGGCATTATTGTTAGGTGTGAAAGATCACTTAATTTGTTGTTCTTTGATGACCTGTAAGACTGGCTTTATTCCTAGCATTTGTCTGATTTTGTGATTTCATATTCTGTCTTTCCTTGAAACTCCTGCAGCTCTTCTAAGGCATTTTATCTCTGTTGAACAATTTTACTTGCAATTGGTTGTTCAAATCTTGATAATTTTCCGACTTAAGGACAGTGTATATCATCTGTAATTTCTTGTTGAAATATAACCCTATATTTTTTATAATTTATAAATTAGTTTTCTTTGTTAATACTAGATACACTGCCAAGCTGTTGGTTTTTTTTTTTAAGCCAACACAAAGTGATATCTTCTTGTATCATAAATATCTACATTTGTTGTCTCTCTACTGTTATTTAAAAAAACACAAAGCAGTGATTCTGTCTACGCTATTTTCTCCTTAAGTTTACAGTTACCATCTGTATGATTGTTTTAAATTGAAGCGCCAGTTGTACTTTCACTGAGATTTCAAAGCCATCAGGTAAAAAAATGGGATAATTAGATATTGTACATTATTCTTCTGAATTATATATTACCAACTATAATTGAGAGAGTGCAAATGATGTCTACAGAAACTAACGGTTAATGACACCTTAAGGAGTTTGACTTGAATGCAGCTCTGCTGGGCTACTGGTTGTTGTTTCAAGCAGCAGATTTTCTCCCGTCAGATTATATTGTGTTTTTTCCCCCTCAGAACTGGTCACAAAACAACAAGTATTAACTCGGGATTATCAAAAGTACCAGACAGCATCTTAGAGACAAACATCCCTCCTGCTGCAATGAGAAGTGCAATGGGCAATGGGGTAGGTTTTGTAATAGCTGTATAGTTTTTATGGAGTTAAGAGTTGTATTTTTAATATAGCTGTATTAGTGTTTTTTGTTTGTTTGCTGAGGAAGGTTTACTGGCCATAATATCCATTCTGTTGCTGAAGTTTTGATTATAGGATGTCCTTGCAATATGTGGATTTCACTTAAAGTGAATTCAACGTAGCAACATTCGTCCATAAAAACATATTTTGACTCCAGCCATTCATGGCCCTGATGATTGGCAGACAAATGTTTTCTCTGTATGGTTGTGGCAATAGCTAGACCCATAAATATCAGAAATCCCAGCACCCATGGCCTGAAGATTTACTGCATTTCACTTTGAGCAAAGAATATGCAGTGAAAACTTGTAATCTTGTTCTCATAATTTTATTGCGAAATCCATAAGTAATCTTGGCTCAGTGTGCATCTGGTGGATGTTTAAAAAAAATGTGGGAGCAAGGAGAAAACAATGGTTGACCAATTGACAGAATTTAAAATGATAAAAAGAAGAGAGAGGTAGTTGAAACTGATGACAGTGACAATGTGCTAGAATACAGCTGATCGGTGGCATCATCCAGAGTAAAGCAAGAATTATATTAGACATGAAAAATTCAGAAATCTTCCCGTCCCTTTCAGGATGTAATTTTTCGTTATTTGAAGCCCTACTTTGGCTTTTGCCAGGTGCCGCAATATAGCCTGGCTTTAAATATGGCCTAAAGGCTGAATGCGGTTTCTGGGACCTCTCCACAGCGATCCTCATCCACATGGTGGCACATTGTGTCATCCAGTGTTTATCGCTTGTGTGATGTCCTGGTGGGGTAGAAAGTCAGTCAGTCAGACATGAAAAAGCTGCCACATTTCTTAAACAACAATCTTCAAGAAGCCTAGCTTCTTCTCCTGAAATGGACAGCTTATTTATTAGATGAACTGAAAAAATAAGCAGCGTATTGCATTACCTTGGGGTTTGTTCAGAAAATGTTGAACCTCATGGCAAAGACTTCATTGCTAGAAAATACAGCATCACCGCCAGCACACTGCTAATCAGATGAATCACACAATAGTTTTGTTTTTGTCTGCGTCCTGACTCTTTGTATAGCATTTAATTTATCAAGCATTAATCTCTCCAAAGCCTGTTTCAATTAGTCTTGATGCTGCACATGTTTTCTCATATCTTCCATCTTCATATTCAGGGTTTCAATAATATCCTGTGTCAACTGTTATCTTGGTTAACCTCTGCCTGACCTTTCAAGGACCATTCCTTACAGTACTACTACTCCTACACCACCATCACATTAAATGTAACCAAAGTACTTTAGCTTATGCAACATTTAGTTCTTTTACAAGCCAATATTCTTCAGTATTTAGCCTTCACAGTCTGCGCTCATTACTCCTGTTCTTAGTCCAGAATAGTCAAAGAATGCTTCTGGGAAATTTCAGCTCAACATCTGGCACATCTCTGGCAAGTGTGTCTGTATTATAATTATTATAGAGGTCTTCGCTGCTTGCCTCACGCTCTGCAGCTTGTAGGTTTTTTCACGGATGCATGATTCAGTTCACGTGTGCAGTTAGTTTTTTTTGCACATATTCCTCAGGGTTGTCACTAGAGCTGTGGAGTCCAGCTTTGTGCGACACTCTCGCTAGATGGCTAGGTATTCTGCGAAGAGAGGTTGAGCCATATACAATAACCTTGGGTAGTGAAGTTGATCCTTCCAACATGGCCCTTTAATCTGTATTATTGCTTCTGAATGACAGAAGATGTAAGAAGATGAACTGTTCTTTTATGATTTATAAAGACAGATTTGTTGAATTGTTAGTGTTTAAGAGTAACTGCAGTGGTGTGGAAAGGTTTAAGACCAATAATTTCTTTTTTCACACTGTTATAAAGTATTCCATCAACTGCTATTTTAGGGAAGAATAATGACTGCAGTGATTGTTTTTAGTGGGCCCAAAAGTTGCAGCGGATGCATGGAGTTTGTTTTACTTGGTAGTTTAAACATTTAGTACCACTAAAAATTGTTTTTCTAAAGATAACCGAGCTTGTAAAAATGTACTACTAGATTCATAGATAATTTCAGATTCCATTTTATTGCTTTATTTGAACATGTTCCTTGTTGGCGCGTGCATTTAGTCCTAAGTGTTTACTGGTTTGATCTTCCAGGCTGTCTTACTGAATGAAGCAAAATATGAAAATGTAAAAGCTGAGGAAAAACGCAGGTGGCTGGAGGAACTTGGTGAGATTAATTAATGTTCTTGGCTGTTCTCAGACTGTCTTTCATTTGCCTTGCCTATGAAAGCATCATTCATTTGTTTTGAGTGCTCTGTATCGAATGTTGTAGTGGTAACTAGACTAAACAGCTAACTCAGTGTAAATTATGTTTTCATTGGGAAACATACGTCCTCACTGTGGATAGTCCTCACTAAATGTCTAGAATGGAACATTTTGATGAGATAACAGTATTAAATATTTAACAGGAAGTTAATCAGTTTGCAACAACTAGTATAGGTGAAGTTTATGTAACTCCACTGGGATACCAGCCATAATAGCTGGCTTTTGATCATTGCAAGTTTGCCAGCTCCACTTAGGTTAATTCTCTTTACATGGAAAGAGGAATGGAGGATTGGCATGACTCAGAAGAAATTATCTCCTGTTGCACATCATCATCAGGTGCCCTGATAGATGACAGTGGCAGTCATTTTTCTCCATACATATCTGTCATCTGTATTCTCTATAGATTTGACTGCTGAAGGTCTTGATCTGCCTTGTGACAACTTCCTCAGCCCCTCTCATCTGATCTCACAACATGAAAAAAAAAATGACAACTGCTGTGTAAATTTGCACCATTCAGCACTAGCATTCTATGAAGAAATCGCACTTCACTAGTTTTTTTTTTTTTTCCATCTTTTTGTGTGACACTTGGCAGACCATTACAATCTGGCATCACCCAGCAACTAGCCCATTAATTACTGCACACTTTAGTGAAGGGCCCTTTCCCATGCCTTCACACCTGTTGGGCAAATAGTGCAAGACCAATATTGTATAGACTAGTCAGCACTGAACTACTGGACGTAAATTTGCCTAGAGAAACCACACAATAGCCAGGGGCTGCTGGGGTTGGTTCTGCAACGTCCTGTAAAGGATACACAACTAACCTAGTCAGCACTGGGTTGGTGGTGTGGTCGGCATCACACCAGCCACCTTTTACTTCCTGCTTTACTGTACCTGCTATCGTAAAAATCATTCACTACATGTAAAGTTACTGTTTCTGTCTTATTTTGCCCAGAGAAAATAGTTTAGTCAATTAATAATTATATCTTGAAAATTACAGTAAAACCTTGTTAATCAAATTCCAAGGTAGGATAAATTGAGTTTATCTTAAAATTTTGTTTGTTTCAACCAGGGATTAGCCTGTGTGTTACCGGGCCCCTCACAGGAAGCAAAGAAAAGTAACGCTCCACCCTACCAGCCAGCGGCTGAGGGTAGGGTTGGGCTTGAAGTTGGCTACCTCATCCAGGAAAAACAGTAGCCACAAAAACCAACCAGCCATCCAAAAGTCAAACAGACATATAGAAAAACGCAGCTAACAAGATGAGGGGAGTCTCTTAAATTAGAAGTATGGCATGGTGTGGAGAAAGCCGAAAAGAGTCCGGATCATCGAGATACCTCCTTTTGCCTAGGAAAACCTCAAGAATTGGCACCTGGAACAAAATGCGGGGACATGGGGAGAGCTGTATGCAATAGTGAAGGATAGAACGACTTGGTGTTAGTTGGTTTAGGGTCTGTGCTCCGTTGGGGGTTAGGCAGAAGAAGAAGAACCAGAGACTAATAACAGAATACTTCCCTGCTGGGACCAGTATTTTTCTTGTGTTAAGAGAATGTTCTTCTTAAACAAGTTTATGGTAATGAAGTTTGACTGCAATAGTTTATTTCACTTGCTATCTTCATCATCATGTGGCAAGTTCTTTGGAATACCTTACCATGGCATATGGAAAGCGACTTTATCCCTTTGCCAATTTTGTCACTATATGAACTTTCTCGTCTAAGGTGTCCTTGATCTTCTCTGTCCACCTTCATGCTGGTCAACCCCTGCCAACCATCTGATACTGTTCTGTCCAAACCATTTTGGTGTTTAATATAGCAAAATTATCAATATAGCAAAGAGCTGAGAGTTTGTGCACATCAAATACATGTGACGGTCCTGAAATCCTGCGCTCTAATTGTGGTAGACTTCTCATTACGTGGCCGGGTTTTGCTAGTCACACTCACAGTTGCCATGGGTTGTGATGCCCATGCTTCCCCATAGTGCACATCTTGAAAGACAGAATGGTGTCAGCAATAGCAACAAATATTTTAGCCTCCTAGTGTTGAAACTGTCTATGAGCAGCTCTCTTCATGTTCCAGTCCTGAAGATGTTCATACTGTTTAATAATCTCTGTACTGCTAAACCTGTTCTCCATCTAATTTTTGGGGGCAATTCTCCAGTGGTGCAAAGTATTTAATCAAAGCTGGTGAACTTTTCAGTTTTTTCATCATTAATTGTAATGTGTTTTGTGAGATGCCTGATGTGGCAGTTTTCCCTTGATTTCCACTTATCCTTTTGTTTAAACTGCATCCTCTGCATAGGAGGAGCATAACCTCTTAAGTTGCCAAGATAATTGAGTACTCTATAATAACATACTTACTGCACCCTGGAGGTGTCCATTTATCCTAGTGAATGATGCTGTAGCTTTTGGTAGTTCATAATATACAAGGCTGTTCTGAAGAAAAACCATTTTCTAGATTCATCTATAGTAGTTTCTTTTATTGTTTTTCTTCATAATTGTGAAGAATGGAAGGAAATATTGATCAAGGTGGTACATAAAGTGTACATTTATGTTTACAGACAGACAAAGAGAAGAGCAGCGCATGGCCAAACTGGCCCAGAAAGAAAAAGACAGACAAGATTCTGGTATGTGGGTTGATCATTATCCAGTTGATCATGAAAAACTTCGCCAGGCACATGAAATTCTCCAGAATCAGCACGTTTCACCAAGGGAACGTAACTATTTAAGCACCCAGCGAACTAACAGTGCTCCACAAGCTACTGTAGAGGACTTTGAGAAGAGCAGTGCCACACTGTAAGTAGAGACTTTTTTTAGACATGTTGTTAGGTATTGTATTGTTCAGTTGTCTCCGTAACACAGAATTCACAGACTCCCAGTAAAACAGGATGCAGTAACACATGATTCAAAGACTGTCTCAGTAACACATGATTCAAAGACTGTCTCAGTAACACGGGATTCAAATACTCTCAGTAACAAAGGATTTAAAGATTCTCAGTAAGACAGGATTCAGAGGCTGACTGTAAGACAGGATGCAGTAATGCAGGATTCAAAGGCTGTCTCAGTAAGGCAGGATACAGTAGTACATGATTCGAAGGCTGTCTTAGTAAGGCAGGATGCAGTAACATAGGATTCTGAGATTGTCTCTGTAACAAGATTGAGTAACAATGGATTCAAAGTCTGTCTCCGTAACACAAGATGCAGTAACACATGATTTAAAGACTGCTCAGCAACACAGGATTCAGAGGCTATGTAAGTATCACAGGATGTAACAACTATCTCAGTAACAGCTTGCACATCCACATGTAAACACATTGAAACATACTGTTACATCTGCAGGTTACATCTGCATGATTAACAGTGTTGAAGATGGTGCAAGCTGTCGTGACCTGACATGACCTGACACTGCTCTTATATTTTTGTCTTGCAGTTTAATTTCTACCTCACGACATCTGTAACCCCTTGTGTTTTCTCATGTTTCTTAGGTTCCCCCGAAACTATTTCTAGAGTGCTTGTTCTTGGAACTACTCCCCTCTGTTTTCAACATTTTTACATCCTTAATCTCTGTGTCATGGGCTCTTCGAGGTCAACCCACATACTGTACGTGTATTGACTTGCGTTGGCTTCTGTCACAGACCTCTGGGTGACCTTGATGGTCCGTGGCTCGTAACTGGGTCTCTGACAGACAAACTAACTTAAACACACACTGAACCCGAACGCAAACAGAACACACATGACAATCTTTATTGTAAGTACAGATATTACAACGGACAGTTTACTTCTCACTGTATATCCACCTGTTACCTGGAACACTGGCTGAGCGAGCTTTACAATCACTTGCTCTCCAGTTTGTTACCACAGGCAATCCAAGGTGCACAAGCCACACCTTTGCGGGGCACGTTTTTGTAATTTGCCACCCGAGCTCACCAAGGTGTCAGAGCTTCTGTCGAGCACAGGGTCAGCGTGACAAGGTTAGCCATAAGTTCACAACACATGCATCTTACTGATTTAACTGATCAGAAATAAATGGACACTACTTACTTATTATGAAACAACACAATACATTATACCATTTAAATACACAGCACAAAAAGACCATCCTGTTATACCATAACACTGTAAATCATCTATGCAGTCACTAAAGGAATATCCTCACTGTAACGTTCTATCTCTGTCTCGCTAACACGTCCACTCGGTCCGAACACTGCACCTCACTGAGTTAGTCATGGAACAATCATGCTGTGAACTTGTTCGGAAAAGAGTTTACTCTTACTTGTAGTCTTCAAGTGGTCTCTACTGAGCGCTAGTTTCGCCATTGCAAACAACACATACTTGGCCAGTGATGCCTCTGACCTTTGTGTTAACTCTGGGGTGTATCCTGAACACGGCATAACCATTGTGTGGTCTACTCCGCCACATGACTGTACTCACAGGGTTCCGAAAGCTTCACACAATTTATGTAAATAAGTAAGTAAAGGGGCCTTTTCCACATCTTCAGGCATATTGGGCCTACAGTGCTAGACCAGTCGATCCTTGGTGGGGGCTGTATTTAACATCACGCCAGTCGTCTGAACTTCCCGGGACTTGACCTGGTACCCATTTAAAGCTGAGACCTGGGAGCCAACAATATTTTTGTTATAGGCAAGTTCTGTTCAGATTTTAACCTGTGACCATCTGATCTGCATATAAGCATCTAGCCGGTACAACATGACGGCTCCCACACAAGTAATTTGCTACTTTGTGTGAATTTTTAGAGATATTGTGCAGCACTAAGACTGCTTTACATTGTTCCTAGTTTTTAACCTTTTAGCTTTCACTCTTTCAGGCCCATGAATTTTGACAGACTTGGCCCAAATTAATTTCCCTTTACAAAAATCGCAGAGGGGTGGGTGCACAAGAAAGGCTATAGAGATTGTTATATGCTTCTAATCCCTATAAAAGTATATATTTTTAAAAAGAGAAATGAATGTACATTTTGAATCTGATGATAAGTGTTTGTTTAATTTTGTTATAGTTAGTGGGAAAGAAGAATTCAGTTGGTGTTATTTTCACAAGGACAACATTTCACACAAAAATTCTTCACTTACCATGGTTTTGCAGCCACAAGAGTAGTAAATATCCAAATTTGAGAACAAAATTTTAAAGTTTGTTCAATTTCCTAACATATTCCAAAGTTATAACTTTCTGGGTTAGTTTAGCACTCAGGAGCTCTTAGTTCTCACAGAGTGCTGAGCAAAATTTCAGAGAAAAAATTGCAGAAAAATGAGCCATTACACACACACTATTTACTATTTACTTTGTACAGTTATTTACAGACTGTAGCTGCAATGATTTTAGTGTAGCTTAGCCATAGCATAGTACTGTCTCTTTGTTTAGAGCACTTTCCTTCTCTTACACATAAATAAACTGTGAAATAAACTCATCAGAATCGCTAGATTCCGAACAGCTGATCACTCAGCTTCACTGGTGACAAATCACTTTCCGAAAAATCTAAATTGTTATTATCATTATCACAATTAAGAACATCTGGCTGAAACAATTTCAGAGCTTCGGCTGCAGAAAGGCGCATTCTGCGACCTGTACTTGTAGTTGGAACATTGGTATTCAATGCACTCAAAAACGAACTTAGAAAATGAACTAAAAAAAATTTTGCTGTTTTTTCTCTCAAATTATCCACGTGTGGTTAAGTCCAGGAAATGAAACTAAAAGGATTTCGGCAGAGTGACTTTCCCTGAATAGTTCAGTCGTACCTCCAAACATTAGAAACTAGTGCGAAGCCGCTTGCGAAGCAAAATGTAAGGGACACACGATTGACGATGACAGTGTTGTTTGGGCAAAACGGAACCCTCTTAAACAACGCTCACACTGTTGTTTGGGCCTCAAAGAGTTAAGCACAAAGGCATGTTTTGTGAAGATGATACAACTGAAATATCCAGAATCTTTTTTTTCTGTTCCAGCCCTACATTTTTACGAGGACAAGGAGCCATTGTTGACCCAGTAACCAGAAGGGAGCAAGAAGAGAAAAAAAGAATCCAGATGGAATATCAGGTTTGTGTGATTGAGATACAAAAGTGTGTGGTTTAACTGAGTTAATGTATGACTCGGATAAGATTATGCCTTTGTTAAATGTTTAAATCAGTGGCACAGCATCTGATATAGAGAAAACATGTTTAAATACTCAGAGTCTAGAGGATATTGCAATTGACACGAGAGATATCTCATGTTCTGCGAATCATTGCAAATAAATATTGTACTGTACTACCACCCTTTAGCCATTGATAAGCTACATTTCTTCTTCATTTTCCTAGTGTTCACTGGCTGGAAACTTTGGTGGCAAAGTTCTGGTTGTTCATCCACTTTGATCTGGTTCCAGAACTTGAGTTTTATGTGCACATACATTTTACAGAGCTGCCTTACATGTATGCAGACTGTTGGTGCCTCACCATTCAGTCTGATGCACTCCGACTTTAAAGGGAAAACTACAGTTAATGCATATAGCTCCATTCTCATGCTGGCTGCTGTGACATTATAAGTGAGGCTTTCTCTGTGTTTTTTTTTAAAGTGGCCAGTCTGTTCACCTTTCCAGGGAGACCTCATTCACTGTCCGTGTCTTTCCCTACAGAACCATCAGTGAATATAATCTGTGAGTGAGTTGTACCAGATCTCAGCAAGCTTCCACTATCTTATCAAAAAAAAAATTTTTTATAATATCAATGGCCTGTGATATTCAAGGGCTATCACTCTAACAACCCATACCCCTTAATTTCATCTAAAGCTATATTCAGGTAAGTAATTAAGAATATGTTTCTGTTACATTCAGTGTGGTGATTAATATTTTTTTTGGTACATTTAGTGATTAATGATTTTTTTTTCCTGTTACTTTCAGCTTAATGATTGTTTTTGTTTTTGTTATGTTCAATTGTTTTTGTTATATTCAGCTTAGTGATTGAGCAATATGTGTCTGTAATATTTAGCTAAGTGATTAATGACACACGTCTACCGCCTAATAGAAAGGAAAGTGCACTAAAATATCTTTGTCCCTTTTATCATTCCTAGGCTCAAGTGAAAGCTCAGATTGAGGAAAGGGAAAGGCAGAAGAGAGAAAATCGAGAGAGGAAACTGCAAGAGGATATGGAAGAAGATAAAAGACTTCAGATGGAGAGAGATTATCTGAATCGACAGTTGGAAATGGAGCAGACAAAGACTAAAACAAGGGAGGTTAGTAGAAAATATAGAGTAGATGTTCGGAGGCTCTCACTAGACTAACTTTTGACACAAAAATCTTGTAAAGTATTCACTAAAGGGGCATCCCATAGCTATGATGTGCATAACCTAGCGTTTCCCAAACCTACATTAGTCGTGACGCCTGTTTTCAATTAAAATGTTTCAACGGCACCCTAACATTAGTAAAAGTATGACTGTTCGTATGTAAGAGATAAAAATAAAAATAACTTGTGTATCTTTGAATATTTTGCGGTGCCCCTGTGAAGAGGTCACGGCCTACCGGGATGCTGCGGCGCACAGTTAGGGAATCACTGGTATAACCTGTGAGAAAGCAGTCTTATTTTGACCTTTTTCTTTTATCGTCTCACTGATATCAGGCTGTAGCCCAGTGTCATGATTTTCTGTATTTGCCTTGTGCTTCTCGGGCGGCTTGGGTGATAGATCTGTTCATCTTTTTTACAGGTTTCTGCTACACCAATTATCCATATCTTTCTTGGTCTTCCTCTCGTCTTCCTCCCAGCTGTAACAAGTCTCATGCATTCTGGTTTGTCTGCATTCTCACTAGATAGCTGAACCATTTCATTTTTTCTGTCTGTAAATATAATCCAGACATGGTCTCATTCGGCTTTCTTGTTTTGACCAGTTAAGTAAAACATGAGAGTTATATCCTGTATCATGAAAAGATATCAAACCAATGGGTGTATACAGGAGAAAAGCATGGAAACTTGTAGTATTCTGAGGTACTGAGGGCTTAAGAATCCAAGGTGACAGTGAGATCCAAAGAATGCTGGAAGTTAGTTGGATGCTGCGGCCACAGTTGGAGACAAAAAATGTCCTGCAGTTTAGGCAAAGGCATATTGGAGACAGCAGTGCAGTCATCGATGTATCTCCTGTAGAGTTCTGGGAGCCTAACGGTGTATTGACCCCAGGACATTCATCGATGTATCTCCTGTAGAGTTCTGGGAGCCTAACAGTGTATTGACCCCAGTGCAGTCATCGATGTATCTCCTGTAGAGTTCTGGGAGCCTAACGGGTTATTGACCCCTGTGCAGTCATTGATGTATCTCCTGTAGAGTTCTGGGAGCCTAACAGTGTATTGACCCCAGTACAGTCATCGATGTATCTCCTGTAGAGTTCTGGGAGCCTAACGGTGTATTGACCCCTGTGCAGTCATCGATGTATCTCCTGTAGAGTTCTGGGAGCCTAACGGTGTATTGATGATATATCTCATGTTGTAGATAAATCATGAATTGACAGGAATAGATGTGTCCCATCTTGGTACCCATAGCCACACCACTGATCTGGTAGGGACCGTTGAACTCGAAAAAGTTCAGAATAAGCGCTAGCTCAGCCAAGTGTACTACTACTCAGCCAAGTGTACTACTACTCAGCCAAGTGTACAAGGCTATAGTTGGGCCGACTCTTGATCTAGAAAGAAGTCTGAAGATCGTCAAAGTGAGGAACAGATGCATAGAAAGAAGTAATATCTAAGATGAAGATGTGGTGCCTGGAAGGAGAGTGAACCGAATCGTCTGGAAGATGAAGATAACATGGTTAGTTTCCTTGATATAGGAAGGGAGACTAGTGACCAGGCGCTGGAATATACAGTTAAGGAACTCAGATACGAGTTCTGTAGGACAAGCACAAGCAGACACGATTGGTCATCCTGGGTTGTCAGGTTTGTGTATTTTGGAAGACATCTAAAGAATTTTCCTGGACAGAGTGCTAGCCTGGGCTGGCGGAAGTTCTTCCTCAGTCAAAGCTATGGTGGTGTTTTTTACTAATTTGTTATCAACAGTGCCATACCACGTTCTAGTAAAACAGTGTCACTGAGTTTTTGTGCCCCCCTCCCCCCTCCCTTTTCCCCCATGTAATTCTGTAAGAAAGTATGAAGTGTACTGCCAGTGATTTTGGGGGGGGGGGGGGGGGGGGGTTGCAGTTGCTCATCTTTACTGGGAATCTTTCTCTGGTGAAAATTTCATGGCATGGTAAAATGAAATAACAGTGCAGTCAGTAATAAACTTTCAAATCTACACCCATCATAATGTAAGCATCGTTCACGTCTTCAAAACATATACTTTATACTAAGTAACTTTCCGGGAAAATATTCTTGTACCCACATTATGAGGCTCGATCAATGCACAGCTATATGATCATTTAAAGGATGTCTCCAGCTTTAGGGGTTTTGAACCCAGAATGACCAGGTTAGGTCCAATATAGTGGTTAGACAAACCTTGAAGTGTTATTTGCTTCTGGTCACTGAAAGTACATGGTCTCCTCTGAAAGCTACTGAGAGCTGAGTGCATAGTGCGACACTATGAGCTGTGGATTTCAGGTGGGATGTCACCTGTGCCAAAAAGAACTGCATGTTCAGAAAACAGTGGCCTGTTGCCATAGAACTGGTGGTATCTTGTGCAGTAATTTGTGTGCAACCGCTAGTTTGATGGCTGCTTCCATTAAAAAAGAACTGCAATGCACGTGGTGGACTGTTGGTACCTATGGCAGCTGCCTTATGCATTCGGTGTTTGTCCATGTTGTTAGCTGTTTCAGGACTGTAGTCTGTTCAGCTTGATAAAAAGCCAGACGAGAAGACCTATTTGCTGCCAAAATGGAGATAAGTCTAATGATCACCAGGTTGACCGGCAAGTGCCTTAGCCATTATTATACTACTGCAGCTTTCACAGGATACAATTTTTCTGTATCCTAATTAAATACATTTGTTAAATTGTTGGCTACTATTTGACAGGAGCTACGTCAGAGGCAGATGGCTGTTCTGAAATCTGCTCTGGATGAAGCTCAGGGAAAGGCATTGGAGGCCAAAAATGATAGAAGGATACATCATCTGCAACAGCGGGGTCATGATATCTCACAACTCAAGGCAGCATATGAAGGTTAGACTTTTAGAACTGCATATTCATGTTCTTATTAACAACTAAAACTCAAAGCAGTGTTTGACAGTGTTAAATTTGAACAAAGAAGAAACAAACATTAGATTGCACAATTTATTACTGGCGTATTTTGCTACTTCTAATCAGGTGATAACCTCAACACGTTCCTGACCAAATTTGACGATCATCAAGTTTCCGGCCATGTCCATTGGTGACCAGATTTGATGATTGTAGAATTTGTGACATGTAGACTGCAAACAGATGACCTTACCGAAAGTTTACAAATTGAGCTTCATCAGGGTATTGTTATTATTCAAAGATGGCTGTGCCTGTGATTGGTATCACTTTGTTTTCAGTGTAATTTTGTTAATTTTTGTTACAAGTGCAAATTCAGCCTTTTTTTTTTAATGTCCAATGACGAAAACCAGACTCGTAGTGTTGATGATTCTGAACCTGCCTGCGAATGTAATGCTGAAAGCGGTAATTCCTGGATAAGTAGAGATACGCCATTGAATATGTTATCATCATATCGCAACTGAAAGTAGTGACAACAATGACAGACTTGATGACGGAGGTGAAGAAAGAACTGAGCGTGGCACAAGAGACCAGAACATTTCTACAACTGAAAGTAGTGACAACAATGACAGACTTGATGACGGAGGTGAAGAAAGAACTGAGCATGGCACAAGAGACCAGAACATTTCTACAACTGAAAGTAGTGACAACAATGACAGACTTGATGACGGAGGTGAAGAAAGAACTGAGCGTGGCACAAGAGACCAGAACATTTCTACAACTGAAAGTAGTGACAACAATGACAGACTTGATGACGGAGGTGAAGAAAGAACTGAGCGTGGCACAAGAGACCAGAACATTTCTACAACTGAAAGTAGTGACAACAATGACAGACTTGATGACGGAGGTGAAGAAAGAAACTGAGCGTGGCACAAGAGACCAGAACATTCTACAACTGAAAGTAACAATGACAACTTGTGAGTGAACTGAACAAGAGACCAGAACATTTCTACAACTGAAATGACAACGACAGCGGTGAAGAAAGAACTGAGCGTGGCACAAGAGACCAGAACATTTCTACAACTGAAAGTAGTGACAACAATGACAGACTTGATGACGGCGGTGAAGAAAGAACTGAGCGTGGCACAAGAGACCAGAACATTTCTACAACTGAAAGTAGTGACAACAATGACAGACTTGATGACGGAGGTGAAGAAAGAACTGAGCATGGCACAAGAGACCAGAACATTCCTACAACTGAAAATGCTGTTTGAAAATGGAGAAAGGCTGCTCAAACCTAACTTGTTAACCCACTGACTACCAAGCCCTTTAACCCTTGCACGTTCCCAGGTACCACACATTTTAGTGTGTACTAAAAATGCCACAAATTCACATACACTTATCATATTTTCTATTTTTGCTTCAAATTGACGGGAGAACATATTTCAAGAAAAAAAATAAGTTAATTTTTATTAACGTCATCATCATGTGGCTGTAGATTGGTGCAACAAAGGCTACTGGAAAATCTTTTATCTGACAGCAGTATAGACTAACATAAGCTACAACAGTGCCAACTCTAAGAATAAGATCACAGCAAACATTTTGCAGGCAGGATGTCAGTTCTTGCTCTTATCGGACCTGCTGTTCATTAACACAGTGTAACACTTTCAAGACCACATGCCGCAACAACACAAATTACTGAGCATCATTTTATTGAAAAATATGAAAAGCCAAAGTACAAACCAGACTGTCAAATTGTAAGGCTGCAGGTAAATGAAGCCAGACTTGCATGTACTGCCCAGATTGCAGTACACCTCTATGCTTGACTCTCTGTTTCAAGCTCTACCACACAGTTGAGGATTATCAGCGTTCCTGACAGACACTTGCAGATGTCAACAGCTACTGTTTCAACTCTGGGTAACGAAAGAAGTAGCTCAGACTTCAGCTAGAGGTGCTTCTATAATCAAATATTTACAAATACTCATTGTAACATGCCAAATAAAAAAAAATTTTTTTTTACTTTATTCACATTTTTATTAGCTTTTAATGTTGACATATTTTATCAGTCGTTAAATAAGTGCTCCTATTGAGCTTATTTTATTAATCGCCAACCACGTCCCCAACATTTTATAACACTGACATTGAACAAATAAAAGTTGCTGGTTTTAAAACATCTCCAGAAATTTCTATAAATATCCAAAAAATTCAAGATGGCTGCCATGATTATGTGACATTTTTGCACAATATATCTTTTTTTTTTTTATGTAGCAACGATTCATAATGTACTCAGAAGGTTTCAAAACCCTACTCTCATTTTTACATTTTTTAAAATTAATTTTATTAGAAAACCAGTCATTTTGAAAAAATCTCCAAACACCCTTTGGTAATTGAAGGCAGAAGTGCACGGACTGCTGGTCAACAAAGTGTTAATGGACATTAACAACAAAGAAAGAGACATCAAAACAAGTTTTAAAGGCTTTATATTTTGTGTAAAATGCAGTATATAATCTGCTTTTTAGGGTAATTTATCTCCACGGACAAGTTTTCACGTATAATTTTGCGTTTTTTTTTTTTCAGAAATGAAGAATAAAACTGGCTAAGGTTGTATCTTAGATTTCATGAGCTAAATAGATTTCTGCAGTTCTAACATGTTAATTTTATTCTTATTATAGCCAGCATTCCTCAGACGAGAGAGTATGAAACATCTCAAAACACAGGACAAGGCATAGAATCTTTAAGAGGATATCAGGCTTACATGAATGATAGGAACCTCACATCAACGTACAACATTGCTGCAGACACAGAACAGTTTGGGGCTTTGGGATCACATGATAACAATCAGCCATACGTAGAGAACCGCCTGCTGACACCAAGTACATACAGAAATCCTAGCAAGCCCAGGCATCCTGCAGATTCCCCTAGGAGAGAGTTTGGTACCCAGACATGTACGTACACTTCATTGTTAAAAGTTAAGGTAGGATAGTAAAGGAGCCTATTCCATGTCTTTAGGCATATAGGGCTAGACCTATTTTTAATAGACCAATCAGCACTGGTAGGGTGGTGAGGTTAACATCATGCTGGCCATCATTACTTCTCAGGACTTTATCTAGTACCTATTTAAGGCTAAAGGACCTGGGAGCAAAAGTCTTTTTTTTTTTTTTTTTTTTTCAAGATCCGGCTCCGTCAGGACCTGACCCAACGAGTTTCAGATGTGCAGTCGAGCATCTAGCCGCTACACCACAGTAACTCCCACACATGGCTATAGTTTAAAAAAAACAACAACTAGAGTAACTAAGAATTGTGTGGTCTTTAGAATTGTGGGTTCTTGAGTCTCTGGGTTAGGAGAGAGGGAGAGAGGGGGGGGGGGAGGGCGTACACCCACTGCATCTCCTGAAAGGCACGTTGTAGAAGGTGACTAATTAGAGTTGCTTCCTTTTAAATCAGAGTGTATCTGCCTGAAAGGCAAAGAAACAACAGTTTGCATATAGATCTGTAAAACAGATGTGCACACAAAACCTCAGATTCTGGATGAAGATCAAAGTCCAAACTTTCTACTTGAGTTTACAGCCCGTAAACATTAAAAGGAAGAATACTACATAATTTAGACGTACAGTCAGCATTACAGATTCTGCTGTCTGTCATATCCTTCTCGGTTCTTTTTTTTTTTTCTCTCTCTCTAGTACTTGTCTCAAACAGAGGTTTAACAATCTAAGGGTTTTCTTCTCTTTCTCATTGTGTTAGATACCTTGTCTCCAGCAGCAATTTAGCGATTACAGTGTTTGCTTCTATTTCTCCCTGTGTTAGATACCTTGTCTCCTGCAGAGATTTAATGAGTGAAGAGTTTGCGTCCCTTTCTCCTTGTGTTAGATATCTTGTCTCCACCATAGTTTTAGTGATTGAAGGGTTTGCTTCTATTTCTCATTGTGTTAGAAATTTTGTTTTCAGCAGAGGTTTAGTGATTAAAGGGTTACCCCTCTAAAGTTTTTCTCCTTATGTTAGATACCTTTTAGCTAAGGTTTAGTATTGCGAGGTTTTTTTCTTTTTCGCATATATTTAGAATAGTTTAAGACTTAGTCTTGATATTTGTCAGTCTTAAAAGCTGTCTGTCTTAAATAGAAAAGATGAAGTATTACTAGGAATTCCAGAGAAATTTGACTAAAAAAAACAAAATGGGAAAGTAGAAAAATGTGCACAAAACAACACAAATTACTAGTGTATTAGTTGCCATGTCATTGTACATTAGTTTTTTTTTATTGTTCGGGCATCTTTTGTATATTGAAAATAAATGTTTAAAAAAAATTATAAGATAAATGTTTTTGTATTATTCATTTGTAGAGTTTGTTCTATTTAATCATGTTTTTTTTTTTTTAACTAAGAGAACTTTTCTAAAATATTTGATTACCAGTTTTATTATTATGTAGTTACCCATAACATCTGTCTTATAACTTGATCATGTGATCTAGGTATTAACTGTTGAAGTACCTGACTCTGCTGGTTGGATAAACTTTTTAGCAACAGCCTTAGATTTTTGACACAGTCTCAGGAACCAACTTATGTCATCTGTTTGATGGAAACAGAGCAAAGGAGTTTTCACTGCGCTAGGAAATTTGTGGAGGATAAAATAAATGAAAACTAAATTTAACATTTTTAATTCCAATGTCAAATCAGTACTGTTTAGTGGAGTGGAAATATGGAGAACAACTAAGGCAGTTACTAATAAACTACAAACATTCATTAACTGGTGCCTGCGCAGAATAGAGGGAATTAAATGGTATGATAGAATCCAGTGGATCAGTAGGTGAAGAAATGATGCAGGCATTGGATAAGACACACATGAGAAAACCTGAGAACAATATAACTGTAATGTCTTTGCACTGGAACTCACAGGAGCATAAAAAAAAGGGAGACCAAAACACAGGTGAAGAAAGGAACAAGAGAGTGAAATTTTAAAAGTTGGGTAGGGCATGGGGAGCGATGTTAAGGATAGAATGACTTGCTGTGAGTTGGTTGAGTGCCTATGCTCCACTGGGGGCTAGAAGGCAGAAGAATAAGAGCAGTTATGATGCAGTTAAAGAGATCCTTGCAACACCAACCACCTTTCATAGCTGAAAAACTTTAATTTTGAGATTGCTGTTATTTTATTCAGGAAGTTGGGATATCCTGGAATATTTGGCTTTTAAAGTATATAGCTGTTTATAGAAAAGCATTGCATGAGTATCTGTTATTTAAATGTGGTTTAAAACCAAGTGCAATGAAGTTGATCCTCTTGACCTTAACTTTATTAATCAGAAAAACTATTTTTTCCTTTGTGCTAAAAGTTTGGTCACCCCTGTGACTCAGAGAGTCACGTCCTGGATAGTAGTCCAACAGGGAGATAGTTCCCTCGTCAGCTGAGATAACTTGTTCAACATCCTCAAAAGTTATAATTAGGGTGCCTGTGATGGCGAGACCAGGAACTACTCTGTTGTTCCCAGCTTTCTGAGGTGGGTGAGGAATAATCAGAAGAACCTTATCAGAGATGTAGTGACATGGCTAGTAAATGGTCTTACACAGAGAATTTGCATTCAGCTAACCTCTGTAAGGATCTGTTATGTTTGGTAATCTTTTATAAAGTTTCTTTTTTTTTTCCAGTGGAACTGAAAGAGCTGCAAGCCATTTTGCAGAGCCTTCCTGAAGACATTCAGATTCAATACAAAATGAGAGTGGAAGATGCCCTGCAAGAGAAGGAGAGAAGAAAGCAAGCACCAACAAGAAAGGTTCACGCTAAAAATGCCAGTGAAGATAGTAATTCTAATAAGAATTCAAAAGGGGTGCAGCCCAAAGAAATACCTCAGAAACTTGAAAATAAGCCACAGTGGAATCAGAAAAAGAGAAAAACAGCAGTGAAAAACTCAGAGAAAGATCCATACTATTTTCAAAAGAGGCAGGAGGCAGAACTAAGAAAAGAAAGAAGAGAACAGAAGTTACTTTATTTGCAAGAGTTAAACAAAGATAGAATTCCCATGCATTCAAACAATCATGACAGACCTCATTGTGAATTTGCAGAAGATGTCCAGCACATTGAAGAGAAAAGTGGTAAAGTTGTGGCCACAAACAAAACTCGGCGTGAGAAACCTGAAACTGATATTTCACCCAAACGTTTAACCAAATCGGGAGACAGGACCAGCATCCGAGTCACCTGAAAACACTGGAGGAAGTTCGCCACCCATTCCTGCAGTGAGGCACAGAACAACCATGAAGAAGGATGACGGTAAAGATCCCTACCAGTATGCTAACAATTATCTTCAGATGAGCCCGGCTGATTCAAAATATGGAGATGCTGCTGTGTTCCCTTCTAGAGATGAGTTTGTACCTTTCATGAGGACTGCAGAGATTCTAGATCCTTCCAAAGCAGATGAGCCACTGGTGGTGTCCAGGGAGAACTCACACATGGAGAGAGCCAGAAATGCCTACTTTGAGTTACATCATCCAGCTAACAGAGGCAAGAGGCTTGATGTTTATCGGGACCAGGAGAGGGAGTCCAGTCGTCAGGTATGTGATAGTAATAAATAAGTGCTAATACCAGCTCTGTATATGTGTTTGAGTACATCGGGCATACGGGAAGAGCACCCATATTTTTACAGACCAATCAGCACTCGGTGTGTAATGTGGTCAGCATTATGCTGGCCGTCTTTACTTTCCCAGGACAGCCCATCCTGGTACCCATTTGAGGCTGGGTCGACCTGCGACGTCCCACACAACGATAAAAATCCACGCAGCCCGCAGTGAGTTTCGATTGCGGTACGTTGGATTACGAGTCGGACTCGCAACGCCTTAGCCACGGATGCCGCACTTGACCTGGTACTACCCATTTAAGGTTGGGTCGACCTGGGAGCCAAGATCTTTTTTTTTTCCCCCGAAGAAAAAGTCGGGACCTGAAGATACGACCTTCGGGTCTGCAGGCAAATGTCTATAAGACATAACTGCTGATGTAAAATTTAAGTTCTTTTATGTCTATCCCTGTATAAAAAAAAAACACGCAGTGTGACTAAAATCTAAAATGTGAAATATGTACAGTTTGATGAGTTTTTTGTTTTGTTTTTGTTTTCTACAGTTATGAGACCTAGAGTTGAGATATTTCTGTTTCTTAACCATAGTATATTATGATCTATAGTGAACATTAGGCAGAATCAGCTGTTAAGGTTTTTTTTTTTGGTCAGTTATTATCATCTCATATTTGTTTAAGAAAAGGTGCCAATATTTGCTAAATTATTGGTACTGTCTTTTTAGTGTAATACTTTGTTGTTTTCATGTTCTTCTAGACTTTCTAACAATGTCCTTGTTTGTATTATGTAAGAACATAAACTGTCCACAAAGTTTAGTGTGTGATATTTGTGTATCTTGCTTACAAGAATTATGTTGGAAACTAAACAGTCTTCACATTTCCCAACTTGACTAAAAATCGGCGCAATCATACATTAGCAGATAATGTAGAAGTTATGCAGCTCCCTCCCCATATTTCATTTGGGGGAACTGGCAGAGATATTTATATTTCTAAGAGCCATAGCAGTTCTGAGTCATAATTTATATTTCTGAGAGCCATAGCCGTTCTCAGTCTTGAGGTTTAGTACACTCACATAATGTTATGTCTGAAAGCCGTAGCAGATTCTGTCACTCTTTAGGTTCAGCACGCTAACATAATAGTTTTGAGTGAAATAAGCGCAGTCTATAGAAGACTCGCTTTCAAAACCAGCTGCGACACTGCGGCCCACGGCCGGTGTTCATAACCAGGCGGTTCACCCAGCCTCTAGGCAATGGGTATCAGAGTTAAAACTCTGGGATAAATGGAGGAACTTGGCTGCAGCTACTGAGTTGCATGCGGATGGCGACACAGGCGGATAGTTTATAGTTTCTTATCAGCTGTTCGTACTGGTGGCAGAGCACTTACGATTTATAACCGTGTTCAATGACGCTGGTTCACATCTCCCGACTTTAGCTTTTTTTTTTTTTTTTACATTACTTTCAATCTGTCGGTTCAGTGTACTAACATAATTGTGTTTCTGGGATATAATAATTTTATTTCTGAGAGATTTTACTATTTCTTTTGATCTTTTTTAAGTATCAACATAATGTTTCAAAGAAGAAATTAGAAGTAATTTGAGAGATGTAGCAGTTACTGTATATGTTTAGCTTTAGTCCACTGATGTAATAATATTTCTGCCAGCTGTAAACAGTAGTAGCCGGCCAGCCTTTGGGCTCACTGCCCATAGATAATGATAATCCTGATAGATTCACTTAAAATGTCAGATTCATTCATATCTCATTCTCAGACTCTGAAGCAGAGACAGAAGGAACTTGAAGACCACATGTCTCCAGTTGAGCTACAGGAAGAAGCAGTCAGAGGATAGATCAGGCACCTAAAAACTTGTCTGAACCATTTGAAAGCGTTACAACACTTTCACAAGTATAGAAGGATGAAGAGCTGTTTATTGCAGAGCTTTCCAAACTTTTTGTCTCAGGACACACTTTTTAGACAAACATAATTTTGTCACACAGTAATTCAGTCTGCTAGCAAACCACAAGTTAAACTAACCACTTATGGGAGGTACTGAAGCATATATAAATTGTGCTCTTGCGACAAACCTTCACACTGCAGCTGTGATGTGTCATGACACACAGTTTTGAAAGCTCTGCTTTATTGTATTAATGTTATATTTATGGCCGATGATGGAGTATTTATTCTCAGTAATGTTAATATCTTTGTTATCAGAGGAGTATTCTGTCCACAGAAAGTAATGCAAAACATGAAGTCTTAAAATTGTGAATGAATGGGAAACAAATCAACTAACATAGGCCATACAGTCATACTTAAACCAGTGCAGCTTGTAATCAGGTTTAGTTTTCGAATCAGTCATTGAGCAGTCTAAAACTAGCAGATGAACACATTCTGTTAGCCTGCTAAATATTGGACACCATTTATGGCACATAATCGAAACTGGAGACCATTTATGACACATAATCAGTTTTAGACACCATGGCACATAATTAAAATTTGACACTATTTCTGGTACAGAATTAAAACAAATTAGACACCCTTCAGTGCACACAGTCACATTTGGAAACCATTTATGGCACATAATAAGTTTTGGAGACCATCTCGATAATCAGAATTGGAGACCATTTATGACATAATCAGTTAGGGTACTATGGCACATAATCAAAATTGGAGATCGTTTACGACACTTAACCAGTTTTAAAACATCGAAGTGGAGAAGATAAATACAGACATTGTTAGAACTGAACTCAAGGAAGACTGGCTAGTAAACAGCATCTTGTCTCAAAAACTAAAATAATTTGACCAAATCAAGTGTTACAGCAGATTGGAAAGAATAGTAACAGAAGGTGTGGTGACAGGGGCCGATCAGCATAAAGATGGGCACAGGTATAAGTGACACGTTGAGTTGTTAAGTGCACTAATTTTTCCCCTCAGGCTGGCCGTGATAAAAGCCACATTCAGCAAAGGACCTGCTAGATGATGATGATTATGATGAATCAGTTTTAGACACCATTTATGGCACCTAATCAAAATGTGACCTAATTGTGGTATATAACAAAAATGAAGCTAAATGGATATACCACATTAGTCAGCGGATGGATATATTACATTCCTTGGAGATGGATATGTAAACAATGTTCTAAAAGGAAAGCTTTTTATCACATTGCATCAAGTCATGCTCTGTATTTCCTTCAGCTTTTACAGTGAAGACAATTTTCTAGAGTGGACGCTGCAAAAGTATGTTCTCTATACATGTTATGTTATCATAGTTGGTGTCACTGCACGTTGCGCAGTCCTGTGCGGGTGCAGTCCTTCAGAGCAACAGTTATTTGCAAGCTACCTCCACAGATTATTTCTGTGAGAGGTTGATTCTATGGCCTCCACATACCAGAACACTCCTCTCCCAAAATATGTTGATGTGAATACTATCAAGTGGAAACCAGAACTGTCTCCAGATGTCTCTTAACCTCAAACTGAAAGCCAAACTGAGATGAAGACCAGGTTTGGAGATGTATAATGTAGTCTAGAAAACTTGATTCACGATCAAAGCCAGATGCTTAGCTTTGGCATAATAACTTTTCAGTTATAAGAAAATATTGTTTCAGTCCTGCAGTACACAAAGCCTTCTAAAAGAACTGTTTATTATTAAATCTAATGACTGAAAATGTGCCATATTTATATATATATATATATTTACTTTTATTTATACCAACTATTATATGTAAGAATGTCAGATGACAGAAGTAAAAACTGTACACACAAGGGAGATAAATGGCCGTAGACCACGAGGCAGACCAAGAAGATAGTGAAGAGATAATATCTAGACAGACCTGCAAACACTTGGTGTCACCAACTGGAAAGAGAAGGCCAGCCAGAGAGATGAATAGAGGCGGGTGATATCTGCAGCAATGAACCTCAGGGGCTCAGAATGCTGACAAAGAAGAAGAATATTAACTATTATCTGCTATCTCCTTGCTTTTAGTATATCATTCTTTTTTCAAATTTTGCTCTGGTTGACCTTGATTCACACCATAAAAATTATACATATTGTTCCTAAATTTAAAACAAATTCTGTACAAACAGTGAAGCCGCAGTAGTGGTGTTATTATATCCTCCACATTTTATCAGAGTATACTGAAGAATCTGGCTGCATATTTGAACCAATTGTCTCTTTGACAGTAAGATATTCATGTTTTATTTTCCATTATGGCTATTGACACTTTGTCCATTATCTAAAATTTTCTGAAACTGAAAGATTTAAAGATCATTTTTTATGTACATGTTATTGGAGTCACAAGCTGCCTAATTATCATCATCATCAATTTTCATTTTTGTTTGTGTAGAGAAACAGTTAACGATCCATTGTTTTGATGTTTAGCAATGGCTGTTCTCATTCCATGTCAGTGAAGAAGGTCTTTAATTTTCCAATCCATCTTCTCCTAGGGCTACCTGTAACTTTCATATCATCAAGGTGATTAGAGAAAGAGAAAAGGGGGGGGGGGGGGGGGGGGGGTGAGGGTGACCTGGCTGTTATTTAAAAAAGAAGGGTGTAACTCAATAAAGGTTGAGAATCACTGCTGTAAAACAATTTTCTAATGATCTTGAGGTCAGTGCTGCAGTTTGAGCATACAGAGATCAATATAGCAAATTAAAAAAGATCAGTAAATCTCTTTTAATAAAACTGCTTTTGTGAATATATTATTTGTGACCTAGATAGTTTTTATCCGTCCATTATGTATAAGTGTTATAAATTTTTTCCATCAAAACATCCATTGTCTGCACATTTATAAAAGATCTGATAACCATTTAATGTATGTCACTTAATTATGTTTAAAGTAATCCAACATTTGTTTTTTCGAAACAAATATGTTTTTTTTTTAAAATGTTATATAATGTTAGTTTTCTGTTTTGTGTGTGTGTGTGTGTGTGTACCTGAAATAACAAAAGTCTCTGTTATTGAAGGGTTTGTGTTTTGTTTTTGGTTTCAAAAACATTT